AGGTTAAAGTTGCTATTTTAGATATAGATAGATTGAGAAAAAAGGCTTGAAGCCTGATATACATATATTGAATGAGTGAAACTCTCAAAGCCCACAACGGTATTCTTTATCCAGTACAGATCATAACATTATTAATTTGCGCTAAAAAAGGAACGCCTTGTGGGCTCTGAAAGTTTCACTTGTTAAATATCTAACCGTTAACAAGCTTCTAACCGTGTGTTCTTAGTGTATTATCGTAAGAGCCTGTTTATGTCTTTTCGAAGTGCATTAAGGATATATATTTTGCCATATCCTCAAGTTTGTTCTGAAGTAAATCATACTGCTTCTTTGACCCAAGTTCCACAAGCGGAGTTTCATTGTCAGCTCATCCAAGTTTTGTAATTTTCAGAACCTCCACGTGACATTCACCCGTTATTGCTGTACATTGCGTTTTTTCTGCAAAATTTACTGATTTGATTTGATATTTGATTCTCGATTATTTGCCTAGCATATACCTTGTTCCCGGTAAAGCGATACTGTAGCATTTGATGGTCAGAATAGCCCTTGAATATGACGCTGTCTGCGAAGTATTCTGAAAGTGAAATAACACCACTGGGTGATGGTAAGCATCGGTTTAGCAAAACTGTCAGAAAAACTAGGAGATTAACAACTGAACTAGTTTGATAAAACTGTAAAAGGAAGAGTGGAAATTCGATCAAAACTTTCTCTTGCAGAAACTGTCAACTGCTTACGAACGGGTTGGAGGACGATGCATAATCCATTCACTCTTATGATATAAAATATATGACCTTTGTCGTAGCAGCAAACATTGTCTAGTATAAATCTGTGATCTAAAGATCAAAGACCACAAATCCGGGTTACTTCAGTGCTCTCTGTTATCCGTAGATGACAATGACTAACATCTGTGATCCACGTGAAAAATGCTAAATATATGGTAATTTATGAATCATGGCGTGTGTATATTACCGTGATAAACGATATGCTGAAGTTTGTGCTGATTCTTAAAATATCGTATGCTAGAGAATCTTTGACTTAATAACATTTGTTTGCGTCGCAAAATGATCATTTCTTCATTCTTCAACTGGTTTTCATTTTATGCAGAAAATCGTCGAATTTTATTATCTGACTGTTTCTTAGCTCTTTTATGCTCAAACACAAGGACTTGATGACCATACCGCGAATATGAATCACTTCTAGAGATTTACACTTTTATTGTGCGCATCCCTTACAAAGGGTATGCGAGCCATACGATGAAGCAGAATTGTTTAGAAATCGGAGCCAGTAACTTATCTCTTCATTTGTATCATATCTCTACCAGAAACTTATCCATTTCCTTTCATGTGTTGCTAATTCGGTTTGATGTCAGATAAATGCCGTACCACTAGTAACGTTCATCATGTTAACTGGCAACAGAAGCAGCCACCTATTGGAACTGTTGCCATGTGTTTTATGTTTGGCTCGCATGTCTTGTATCTCTACGATTCTAGTATTGACCTGGAAACTGTTCGAACAGCAAGACGCAGTTATCGCTACAAAACATTGCTTAATGGACGATTTGTTAAACGGCAATGTGGCACTCACGATTCAAGGGCAGAGAGGTCTGAAAACTATAAAGCAAGATTTCAGACCATTTTTTATGTAAGCAGGCTTTTGTTTTCCCCCAGATTTTCAGCATTCTGTTGCAAGACCAATGCTGCATCCAAAACTTGCTAGCTGTTCGATTTTGATACAATTAAAATGAACACATTTTGCAATGATACTTTTGTTCTACTTTGTTGCAGACAGCAACATCCCATTCCATCAAATTCGTTATAATAAGCCGCAGTTTTTACTGATTCATCGCCAACAATTCTTCTAAGTCAGTTGTCATAGGAATGACATCAACGTTTCTTCGGGACAGGAGTTAGTTCTGATAATGATGACACTCAATGTCATTATCCGAAACGTTCACTTCCGAAACGGGTCTTTCGGGTTTTGTACCTACGGTCATTAAGGTAGAAGACTTTTTCTTCATTTGTAATTGCTTAGCAAAGATGTGAAAGGAA